ATGTTGGGAAAGTGTGAAGGCAAGAGGAGAAGGGGACGACAGAGGATGAGATGGTTGGATAGTATCATTGAAGCTACCAACATGAATTTGATCCAACTCCGTGAGGCAGTGGGAGACAGGAGGGCCTAGCGTGCTCTGGTCCATGGGGTCATGAAGAGTCAGATAGGACTTAACAACTAAACAACAACTTGCAGAGCTACTGAGAGTGACATTCGGATGCTCTTCAGCTATCCTTTAGCTAAAATCCTATTGGGTGGGGTCTGCCTGCACAATGGGAAAGATGTCAGCAGCAGACTGCCACTTCCTGTTGTGATCTCAGGGTGCATGCAGTTTCATAGCATTGCATTGGCCATGCACCCTCCGAAAACTGCAAAAGGAAGAAGCCTTTTGTCAAGCATCCTGTCAGTGATAGACCTTCGGCTATCAAGAATGCCTTCTCTTTGAGCCGTTTCTTACGAAACCAGAAAATCCTCCTCCACCCTGTTATTTCTTTTGTAAGCTATTTGTTTGATTCCAGATAATCAGATTCTAAGGTTCACTTATTCTAGCAGTATTTGTATGTCCCTCTTTAATATCTGCATACCTATTGTTTTCAGCTTTAATATTGTTTTTCAAGGATGTAAGCCGCCTTGGGTCCTTTTTAAGAAGAAAGGTGCGGTAAAAATATGTTAAATAAAAAAATAAAATAAATTTCAGACTCCATGACAAAGACGTTACTCATTGAGATTTGCAAGAAGCATGTGAAATAAAAAAAATAAAATAAATTTCGGACCCCATGACAAAGACATTACTCATTGAGATTTGCAAGAAGCATGTGTGTTTTTTTAAAAAAAAGCTTTTGGTTGGGCTTGAGAATATAGCTCTCAAGGTTCCCCCGAAACCATCAGTGAACTGGAGAAAACATTGCCAGTGTTGGCCACAGGATTCTGAGAGGTGCAGTAACTCTTCTGAGAAATAAAATAAATTTCGGACCCCATGACAAAGACATTACTCATTGAGATTTGCAAGAAGCATGTGTGTTTTTTTAAAAAAAAGCTTTTGGTTGGGCTTGAGAATATAGCTCTCAAGGTTCCCCCGAAACCATCAGTGAACTGGAGAAAACATTGCCAGTGTTGGCCACAGGATTCTGAGAGGTGCAGTAACTCTTCTGAGCTGTCTCTAGAACTATGGTTGGTCACAGTCTATGTTCATAAAGGTTATGCTAAGAGATGTTGGCAAGTCTTTATTCCCCAGGAAAAAGGGAGGGTGGATGGGTTGGCAGTTGCAAGTTGAGTCATTAAAAAACAAACAAACCCAACACACATTATGTGTAAGTCAAGTCGCTGGTGTGACTTAAGTCCAACTTGACTGAGCTATGCAGACCCATGGTCTGGAGGCTTCCCCCACCCATGGATGATGACTCTGTGTCTCTTCTCACACGGTTGGATGCTAATTTTCAATGCATGCAAGCAGCAGATCGGGTGTTGCAATTATATCCCTCCCCCCCACAGCCACACTGTTTTCCCGAAAGCCAGCCTTCTGCGCGGGGAGAGAGGAGGAGTCAGCGGCTGCCAAGACCCCCCCCATCTTCCCAACCAGCTTCGCTTTCCGCTTAAAACCCTCCAGCGTTCAGTGCGGTCACGAGGCCACCGGTCGTTGCGACACCGCGCGCAAAGCGACATCCGCTCATTGGCGTAACTTGCGCTCGCTTCTCTTTTTTGCAGCTTTGACATGAAGCTCTTTTTTTTCCGTTTGCTTTTTTTAAAATTTTCTTTTTTGAGTTTCTTTTTTTTCTTTTCTTTTTGTTTTTTAAATTAATTCCTTATATAT